GTGTACTTTCTTCCTCCCTTACACCCTCCTCTCCTTCCTTTAAACCAACCTCCTTTCCTCCCCTATCTTCCTAACACCTAACAACTTCCTTATTAGACAAAACCAATCGCCCCTCCTGAGGCGAAGCAACAGGGATCTCAACTTCAAAAGTACCAAAACAAATAGACTTACCCAGTGGAAGATTAAGCATTTTCTGCTTCAAACTCCCAACACTCTTCTCCCCATGGGCGAGCTTACCTCCAACACCCTCAATTGGGCTAAGCTCATCCTCACTATCTCGGCTCCCCTCAACTCACACTTCTCCTTCCATCTCTGTCAAATTTGGCAATGACCCAAATCCATTCCTCTGTCTTGTCAAAGTGAAGCCTGTGAGAAGCTCTCCTCTTTATCCTCTTAAACTGCTTAAACTTGGTGCCTAATCCATTTCTATCCTTTGTTTCGTTTTGTTTGAACCCCCTATTACTGCCGCTCTTAAACCTCAATCTTAGAGGGTGGTCCCCACTCCCAACACCCAAGGCTTCGATCAAATACCGAGACTCGCTTACCATCCCACCCTCTAAGTCCTGCCTTTCCACATTCTCCTTACCAAAACCATCCATGTGCCTCCCTTCTAACATCATAGCTTTGCATGAAATTACCAATTTACCCCTCGACTCTTCTCCCCCATCATCTCCCTCATTCAAACGACCCTCCATCTTCCCCTCTTCACCAGAGCCATGGACCTGCAACTCCAAACCAACTCAATCTCTTCACCCTTCCTATTTTCTTTTCAGTATGTGCTTTAAGGAACGTGTTGCCTTCCCCCTCAATGAAAATCCTCAGATCGTAATTCTCACCTACAAAAAGCTAGAGATAAGGAGCTTGGGATAACAGAGGCTGCATCGACCTCCACCAGAATTCTCGCAACGTCAATTTTCTCCCAAGTCCTATTCCTTTAATCGGCGTTCAAGAACTTACCGTAGGCATCTCCAATCGTTTTGATTGATTCGACACTCCACACATGCAGGGGGATTCCCAGGACTCCAATCCACATCGCCCTCCTCCTTTTACCTTCTTGAATATGTCCTATTGCAGGAAACCACCAGCTTAAACGTAAACCACAACTCCTCTTCATCTTGCCTTCATGTTCCAACACCCACTCTGCCTCCTCTCTTCCATGAAACATAAATAGAAACAGTCCTCCATTAACCTTTTAACACCCAAAACTTTCTCTTTACCCCACTCAAAAGAGGACCAAGGGTAAGTATGGGGATGAGGCTAGATAGGGTGGTCTCCTTAAAGGACAAAGAAGGATTAGGGTTAAGGTCGCAGGGGGAAATAATGGGTAGGCTTTTGCTTATGGAGAGATTTAGCAAAGTCGGGTAGTAAGAGTAGCCAGGGAGAGTGTCCCTCGGTCGTACTTTACAACCTCTTTTTATAAGGGAGTTCCTAAGACTTTAAGGAGAAGGATTCCAAAAAGGATTTGATTCCCATTAGGAAAGGGAATCCTCATCTTTATGTCGGTTATCAAAGGAACGCCACTAGGGTTTCGCCACGTGTCTGATGAGATCCTCTAAAGACAAAGTTCCCTTTTCCTTGAAGATTCTCACCTAGCACTTGCAAGCTACATCTCATCATGGGTTTCCTCGTGGCCACATGTCAAGGACAAGGTTTGGGTTTGACTGGCATGCTCGGGTGTCCGCTCGATCACCTTCGAGGTGCCTCGTCACAACTCATTGTGACCAAAAAGGATGTCAATCACCCGTAGGTGGGTATTCGCTAGTATCGGGGTGTATCTAATGCTCATTACAGTATGGGCTGCCATTCTACATCCATCGCAAGGTGCTAGTGATATACCTGATTAATATCAGGCCTACGATGTCAATTTAGGTTTGTCATGAGTCTCAGGCAACACTCATTGCAAATCGTAGGTTTGAGGAGGCAATTCATGCTTATCGTAGGCCATGGATGGCTTTCTGAGCTCATCGCAAGTATATATGTGTCTCTATTTCAATACCTTTATCATGATTACGGCAATGGAGGATGGCATGTACTTACACTAGGCTTCCACGTCTTTCTCCTCCAAATCCAGTCGAATGAACCTTCCGATTAAGCTTGCATTTATAATCTTCAACCTCTCGTCAAGCTCTCCAACTTGATTGAAATCGATTTGAATCTCTCCTTGGTTCAATCATTGTGTAGAGAAGGGGTGGGAGCCAATCACTCATCTTCTTTTTCATTACTATGAGACCAAGAAACAATGGTACTTTTTCCTAGGATTTTTGTTTTTTTTAATTTTTGTCTTTTTTTTAATTTTCTTACATTTTTTATTTTCTAGCTTTTTTCGTATTTTTGTCCCTTGCTTCAAAAAGGTGCATGCCTCACCTTGTGCCTTGCACCTCAAGCGCAAATTGCCCCTTGCGTTTTTTTTTTGTGCCTTGCGTTTTTATAACACTGGTGCCACTATATTGGGTTGCTACATCTCGCATTGGCCTATGAACTATTAGGTCTTCCCCTAGGAACCAACCCAAAGGATGCTAGTTTCTGGAGTCCAATTATAGAAAGAATTTAGAAGAGGCTTGATGGTTGGGAAAAAGGGTATCTATCATTGGGAGGTAGAATCACTCTAATTCGATCGACCCTAGATAATCTTTTAGTCTTTAAGGCACTGGTCAATGTGTGTACAAAGATTGAGAAGTTATGAGAGACTTTTTGTGGGAACCAAAGGAGTAAAAGAGATCAGAGTTAGGTGGGACGGTGGAGAGATAAACTTTGGACAAGGATGGTATTAAGCATACATGGGCTCTCAACTGATGGATGGGATGGTGGAGCACTAAATTGGGCACTCATGCCTCTCCTTAGAAGGCCATCAATGGTATCTTACCTTCCTTTGGTTAAGTATGATCTATGTAGTGGAGACCATATTAAATTCTAAGAACATGTGTGGCTGGGTCCCTCCCCTTTAAAAGATCAATTGCCATCTCTTTTTGCTCTGAGCCGCTTCAAAAACAAGCCAGTTTCTAATTTCCTTGTCCTTCTAGCTCTACTTGTGGCATTGGTTGGGATCTGGGTTTTCGTAGGGGTTTAAGGGATTCAAAAACTCCTCATGTCTCTAACTTGTTACAACTATTAGAAGATGTTTTCCTTGATTCTTCCAAACCTGATGGCCAAATTTGGACTAGGGATGCAATGAAGAAGCCAGATATTCAGATCTGATCCAATCCGATTTAATTTCATAAGAAATTAATAAATTATTAAAAGAAAAATAAAATATAATAATTTAAATAAAGAAAAACAAAAAATACAAGTATCTTTTCAACTACTTTCATCATATATATACATGTTTTTATAAATAAATAAATAATATAACAAATTTACAAAAATGCAATATAAATAATATATTTATAAATAAATAAATATATTATATGATCCGATCTGATTTCTGATTGGATCCTATTATATGATCCAATCCGAAGATCTGAACTAGGGAGATCCGAATTCGACAAAATAGGATCAGATCGAAACATGATCTGATCCATTTGCACCCCTAATTTGGACTTCTTTCCCCTCCAGTTCCTTTACTTGTGCTTCATTTTTCCAAGCCTTGTCTCATTCTGATATGGCTTCTTCGCAACCTTTCCCAGTTAAGGAGGTTTGTTGTAAGCCTATTCCGCCCAAGGTTAGTGCATTTTGTTGGGAAGTTGTTCATGGAAAGATTAATACCAGTGATTTATTCAAAAGAAGCGACCACAATGGTGTTTATCCCCCCCCCCTAGATGTTTTTTTGTGAAAGGCCAATGGTGAGAACTGTTATCACTTGCTAATTTCTTGTTCTTTTACTACTTGTATTTGGGAATGGTTTCTCTCTTTATTCGGCTGCAGGTGGACTCTGCCAAATAATGTTCAAAGCCTATTTGCCTCGTCATTCTTTGAATGGCCACACAAAAGGAGTAGGATTATGTGGAAATGTATAAGGGTGGCGACTGTTTCAACTGTATGGGAAGAAAGGAATGCAAGGCTGTTTCAGGACAAGGAAAGCTCCAAAGAGGCTATAATTTAAACTGTCCTGATCAGAAAAGCTAATTGGTTAAATTCCATGGATAAATTCTTTAATATGTTAATGGATAATCCTCAAAGGAGCTGGAAGGCAGTGGCTGAATCACAACCTAGTAGATCAGTAGCTAATCTAATATGGTGCCCACCAGACAGGGGATTCATGAAACTCAATTTTGATGGAAGTTGTATGGGTAATCCAGGACCTTCAGGCATAGGAGGTCTGTTCAGAGATGAGAAAGGTAATGTTATGGCACTTTATTCAGGACCAGTTGGGGAAGGAGATTCACTTAGAGCAGAGGTGCTGGCTGCAATGGAAGGAATACAAAGAGCTAAGTCTGCTAAACATCAGAAAATTAGTTACTGAAGGAGAATGCAAACTGGTGGTGAATTGGTTGCAGTGCAATGATCAGAGGATGCAGATTTTTAGCTCTCTAAAACAGAAATTCAAATGGACAACAAAAGATATGGAAGTAAAGGTCCAATGGGTTAAGCAGTCTGCTAACTCTAGGGCAGATGGTTTAGCCAAGCAAGGGGTGGAGAGGGAGAATCTGTTTTGTAAAACTTTTATAGGTTTTCAGAGAGAGACAAGTCTGTCTCTCAATGTCTGTGTGTATATTGTACCTCTTGTATCTATCTTTTTATCTTTAATATAAATCTTGTTGTTATTGATCGAATAAAAAAACTACCACCAATGCTACTGCAATTGTAACAAAATCATGGCAAAGAAATATCTATGGTAAGTTTGTTTAAATTGTTGGACTAATGTTCTAAACCATTCTCTTTTATATGGAAATACATACAACTCATCCATCAGTCATAGCAAAAAATGCCTCCACCCAACAAGAAAATCACAAATAAACAAACAAGAAAAATGACACTTTCCACTATTTTAGGCAATTCTATCAAGAGAAAAAGAAATAATTATTGCATTGAAAATAATTCATGCAATAAAATGATATACATACCTTGTTTTCCCACTCAAACTCAGCCCACATAGTTCTGAATGCCACATCAGCGCATGTTGCAGGAGATATGTAGTCCATTATATCAATGTGGATGTCATTAAGGACAATAACAGTTCGCTCAAGCACATTTGAAGTTTCATAAACAATGTTCCCAAATATAACTCCTGTTTCAGTTGAAGAAACCTTAATGTTGGCTCTTATCTGTTTACTTGATTCTGGAGCTAGTGTATAATTCTGTGGGCGATCAACTAGTTTAAGATCACCCATGGTGGCCAACTCCAAACACAAATTCTGGAGAGTCTCCTTAGTTCGGTTGATAACTGTAACATCAAGCACAATGTCATAATGATGGACTGTCACATAAGCTTCAGCATATACAGGATCACTGAATCCTGTAAGCTGAAGAATGCGATTCAGCTTATTCTCATCATCTCCATCCTTAGTGAATTCTCCTGTTGCACGTTTCAAATCATCCTGGACTTCATCTTCCAATTCTAGCTGGCTCATACCCTGGAAAATCAAATTTATTTGACAAATTACCATAGTTGTTATATATTAAGATCAAAACCACCAAATTGGAAGATAAAAGTACAAAATAACCTTCTAGACAAAAAAAAAAACACCAAATAAGTTCACATGTAAATGTCTCATATATGAAACACCAAAACATTTCAGATCCAATATTTAACATGCCCACATAAGTACCAATTCTGAGTACTTCAACTTATAACAGGGGAAAAAACTAAAAGAAATGAAAGCTAAGCTCTCCCCAGGATCCAATATTTGAGATCCTGGACAGAAGTGGTAATAAACAGTAGCTAGACCTGTTGAAAGTGTAAGATTGGTTTGGAAACCTCCAGCTTTTAACATGTTAAAGTTGAACTTTGATGGCAGTTCGTTGGGTAATCCAGTAAGGGCAGGAATACGAATTTTTAGAAACCACTAAGGAGTGGTGCTGGCCCTATTCTCAGGACCAGTTGGTTTTGGAGATTCAGTTCAGGCTGAAATTCTGGCTCTCTTACAAGGTTTGAGACCTGCAGTACAGCTAGAAGTAAGAGAGTTGGAAATCAAAGAGACTCACAATTAGACCTCTCCCCCCATGTTTGTTGCCTTTGCTTGGGCTGTGGAGAGACAATTACACATCTTTTATTATCCTGTCCTCTTGCTTCTTTTGTGTGGAATTGGTTTTCTTCTCTGTTTAGTTGCAGGTGGACTCCTCCTCCGGATGTGGTCGTCACTCCTTTTGATCTGAGTTTTTTCACATCACCAAAGAAAAGGGACAAAATAATGTAGAGGGCAACAAGAACTGCTATTGTTTGTTCCTTATGGGAAGAGAGGAATAGCAGGATATTCCTCTCTTCCTGTTTAGTTGCAGGTGGACTCCTCCTCCAGCTGTGGCCACTCTTTTTGATCCGAGTTTTTTCACATCACCAAAGAAAAGGGGCAGAATAATGTAGAGGGCAACAAGAGCTGCTATTGTTTGGTCCTTATGGGAAAAGAGGAATAACAGAATAATCCAAGGAGTGGAAAGAACTAAGGAGTAAGTCATTGACTCCATAGTTGTTAGGATCATACATTGGCTGAAAGCAACTAAACTGTTCAAAAATTTCTCAGCTGAGGATATGCTAAGTGGATGGTCAGTATCTTCAGTTGCACAAAGTGTAGTTCAGCCCCTTTGGGCACCTGTAGCACAACAAAGAGTAAAATTGAATTTCGATGGAAGCTCATTGGGAAACCCAGGGCCCTCTAGAATTGGGGGAGTTTTCAGGGATGGGGAGGGCAGAATGCAAGCACTTTATTCTGATCCAAAAGGTATGGGAGACTCCTTAGGGGCTGATGTTATGTCTCTACTTCAAGGTATGAGATTGGCCAAGCAATGGGGATATCAAAACCTTGAGGTAGAAGGAAACTCTAAACTTCTAAGCTTGGGCGTATGGACCCTTAGACAACAGATGAGGGAAATACTTTGCCTAGCAAGAGAAGTGGGAGTAATATTCAAATGGGTAAGGAGATCAGCCAATTCTTTGGTAACAACTTAGCAAAGCAGGGGACTCTCAGGGAAAGCTTGTTTTGAGCTGTACTGTTGAGATTTGTATGGGGTCAACACTCATGCTATAAGTGGTTGACACTTTTGTATTTAACTGTTATTTTAATGAAAGTTACTGTTTCCAATAAAAAAAAATGATATTCTAGCAAGGAGATTCAATTCTACTTTTAGATGGATATGGACTGCAAATGGGTTGGCGGATGTTTTGGCAAAGCAAGGAGTTAATAGGCCGAATTTATTTTGGGCAAAGTTGTGATCTGATGTATTTTGGGGCTTCTATGTAACTTAAATGTGAAATTTGGGGATGACATGTTGATCATCAAATTGTATTAACTATTTTTAATTAAGTTAACTCTGCTGATAAAAAATAGACTATGGAACACCCCCACCCCCCCCCAAAAAAAGAAAAAAGGAAAACAAAAACAAAATCTAGAACCTCCATAACTGGAACTCCAATTGACCACAAGCCAAAATCAGACAGGTAAGTTAGAGTAAGATCATCTTCCATATCCTAATTAAATGTTTGCACTTTGCATCAGTGGTCACAGAGCAGAAAAAAGCATTCAAGACCAGAGCCAGAGCCCTAATCTTGCAACTAACAGGTGTCTATTGCCATGAATCTTTTACTTTCTTATATTAAATATATGGAGTAAAAAACCCAAAAAAAAAAAAAGAAAACTTGCAGACATCCTATAGATAACTTCCAATGCCCATTAATTTTTTTCCAAACTAAATAATACTAGATAAACACTTCCAATGTCTACTGAATACTTTGTTCTAGTGCCAATTAAGGAAAGACCTTTCACAACAGTTGATAACAAAGTATCCCACAAAGCCTACCACCATATCTGAATTTGAAATTTGCAGGACCCCTACCCTTGTACTACATCAATTTGGAATCAGAAACAAATCCATAGGCATCAGAGAAAACCCTAGTAAAACATGTCAATCCATAGCTATGAAGAAGATAAGGATTGACTCCATGGTTAAATTGATCCTGGCATTTAGAGTCACTTCCTTTGGCTATGACTCAAAATTCTTTAATGGATCACAAAGTTGAGCAGAAATTTGTTACAATCAATTGAAAATTTGACATTTTAAATGCCAAGATGGAAGCTTACTCATAAAGAAGGGTATTGTTAATTTGTGAAAGTTCTATAAGTGCCACATCTAATTGAGTATCTCAGCCTACTTTGGAATTGATTTTTTTGTGTTTTTGATCAATAACTCACATATTTCATTAAAATTTGAGAGAAAAAATACAGGTACAAAAAATGGAGATAAACTCTCTTATCTCACCTAACCAAAACAACAAGACAAGAGAAAAATTACAAGATAGCCCAGAATAAAGAGTCCCTAGTTGCCCCTTGTTTAGCTAACCCATCAGCAAAGGAGTTAGGACTTCTTTTAGCCCAACTCATCTTCACCTCAATATTCTTGGTTAACCAATTAAATCTCCTCTTCTCATTGCTGTAGTTCCAAAAATTAGCAGTATCATTTCTCAGCCAATCCACTATCAGTTTAGAACCACCCTCTATGACCAATTTGGTGATGTTCAGTTCAATTTCCCTTTGAGTTCCTTCAATAACAGCTGAAATCTCAGCTTTGGAATTGAATTCTCAGCTCTTTATTCCTACACTACTTCCGGCAAATTTCATTGATGACAACAATGGTTGTTATGCTCAAGCTTTGGATCTAATTTTTATTCTTCCTCACTTCAAAACTGATGAACTATTTCAAACCATGGGAGAATGATGACAGATATGAAAGCAAGGAAAGAATCCAAGGAGAAATAAATCATTTTTTCAATTCCTATACCAATTTCAAATCTATCTATCAATATTTTATAGTTGTAGGTATCATAAGAATAGGGTCTTAAGTTTTCTAGGAATATATTGTTATTAGTATATCAACATCACTATTTATGGTAATTTTTGAATTGCTATTTATATCCATAATTGCTAAAATCACAACTTTCTACTTTTAGTAATTTCTATTTTCTACTGTCTTCACATTGAGTTGGTTTTAGTAGGATTAGTAAAGTGCTATACAATTTTTAGGAGTTAGAGTCTTTATTTAAGATTCCCCAAGGGTTTGTCTTAGTTTTGAAGTTGTTAAAAGTTGTTTTAGGTCGGTTTCCTAGTCCAAACTGGAACCTATAAAGGGACGTCCGTGTGCTTATGATTAATCTATAAATATAGTCGTAATTAAAAATAAAAGAATTGATTTGATGAAATAAAGTTTGGTTTAGTGAATCCTGGTTATTGCCAGGATTTTTTCTATTTTTTCCTCTCAAGTATTTCTTCTTCTATGTGATCTATCTATCTCTTTGTTGTGTACTATAACAAGAGATCTTTTTTTCTAATTTTTTGCTCATTCTTTGGTGGGCAACAAGATGTCTACTTGCTTCTCCATTGCTATTCTTCATTCTTAATGACCCAATGCCCCCCCCCCCCACTCTCACCCCACAAAACCCACCACCAGATTTGAAGTTTGTGGGACCCCCTACTTTGTCCTACTCCTACATTAGTTAGGCAGTCAAGAAATAAACTATCCAAAAAACGTGTACAGCAAAAATGCAAATTCTGATATGGATTAACAGAAAAACTACAAATGGTATGATGAGAAATAATCATATTCATAGGGATTGAATCCCACCTTCACCAGGGTTGGGGAGTTACAGGTTTGGGCGTTGGGGGATGGGTTATCCCCTGTTCTATAGCTCCATAGTACCCAAAAAAAAAAAAGTAATATTGAAGGGTTAAAAGATGAAAACACATTTAGAATTAAAAAGGAAAAAATCAAATCATATCTGAAATAGGAGTCAGAACGAGTCTGCACCATCAAAAATGAATGGAGTCTGCACCAACCAAAGAAACAAACCTGCTCAGAAAATGTATTTCATTCACCATACCTCATTCAAAAGCTTCTGCCCTATTTATAGACTTATATGGTGGAATACTTATTATAAGAGAATATTGACTTCTAATCTATAAGCCAGAATATTTTCTAGGATTTTGTAGAGATCTCCTAAGATCTCTAAAATATTCTCTTAAAGAAAGTAACTATATTGCCAACTAAACTCAAAATAGGAAATAATCTCTTCCAAGTACACTCAAGGTAGACTTAATCTCTTCCAAGTTTACAAAAGAGGAAATTTTGGCAATCTTGCTAACTAAAAGGGTTGATATAGCTACCCACAAAATTTTCTTCATGCATCCAGCTGCTAGTGGATCCATGAATAGCATGTAGCTCATGACAGAATTCTCTTTTTTAGCTGATTGTGCCCTTCATCACCATCTAATTTATCAATCTAACTTAAATCTTCAAGTATTTTAGCATTCTATATATTTTTCTATCTTTTTTTCACATGTATGCTTGTCTTATAGACCAAAAGCATGACTATTTTGAACAAGCAGTTATTCCCATTGTAAAAATCTATACCGGTATGGAACTGTCACTACACAAAATGGCCGCTGTTGTTACTAAATTAGCAACACTAACTACCAAAGAATTCCACTCTCTAAGAATTGATCATATATGTGAACTCTCATGTTGGCCAAGATCTTATGAGCCATATTCCATCAGGATTGCTCAAAAGCAAACAACATTGGTGAGAGAACAGAAGCAAAATAGTAAAAGAAAAACCTATATTTATGTGAAAATAAGAAGACAACAGGAGAACCAAGATAGATGTTAACGTTCATAGCCACCCTCCCCACCCAACACATACAGAAAGGAAGAATGAAAAAAAAAAAAAAAAAACAGCAAAATCATCCCACTATTGTAGTTCAACTGGAGAAGTATATCAATACTTATAGGAAAGCAAAATGTAAGCACGAATCTGACAACTAATTACTTAACTTCTGTAAATATGGAAATAGAAGAATTAAGTATGTAGCCTAAATATGAGAAACCATATTTCATAATTAGCTCTAATAAATAAAAGAAAGACAACTATATGATTTTATCATGTTTATTAAGCTTTTTAGAATCCCAAAAACAGTATTTTCCTCTCACCTTCCTGCTCTTCAAATGGTAGAAGTCTATTAGGTCATCTGGTTGTGCATGAGAAATCTGAGCCTTTGCTTTTATCTCCTCTGTTTCTCGGAACTGCTTATCTGCAAGCATTTTAACAAAACTCTCACGACATGACTGCAACCATATTTTCCTCATCTCATCACCAGTATTGCATAGCAATCTTATGCAAAGAACGATCCTGTCATAAGAATCATTGTCTATTGGATGAGATAGAAATGAAGACTGTCCTAGTTGCAGCATTGAGACCATAGTCAATAAAGCCTGAGTAGTTGCTTTGTTCACTTCAACTTTAGTTGGCTGGACCTCTTCCAACCTTAGAACAAGTTTTGTCAGAGTGCAGGCCATGACTGCACCTAGAAAAAAGTCACCTGTAAGAATTAAGGATCTCAAATTCCCAGAAGAGGTCAAGGACCCTGGAAGAAGGGTGGAAGTTGTCACAGAAGTTTCTGAGGCAGCACTTTGTGTTGCATAGGTCCCATCTGCAAGAATTGCTGGTCTCCTAGAGGATACAGTGATAGAATTTACTTGTTGAAACTGCTTCTGATTATCTGCAATCTCTCCTTCCTCTGTAACTGTGTAGAATGGAAGGTCTCCAAGACATTGCTTAATGGTTGCAATCCCACTCTCAACTTCAGAAAGTGAGATACAGTACTCTCCAATGATCCAGAGAGCACAGGAACAAACACGTGCAGCACGGATCTGGTAAAAAGTGTCCAAGAGTCTGGTTATTATCGAAACTCTCAGTTTTGGATTCGTTTCAATTATCTCCCGGACAAATATAACCACATCAATAGCTGAAGCAACATTGCTGTCCCCTAAGAAATCCATCAACAGATGGACCACTGTGCTTGCAACCTCTGGGAACTTGATTGCACAAGAATGTATGGCTTGAACAAGCATTTGTCTGTACTCTCCATTCTTCTCAAGCTCTGAACTCTGAGTCTTTACAACTTCCTTTTTCAATGTAAGAACAACCTCATCAATATTCCTTGGAGTTATCAGTTCAAGAGCAATGTCAATTGTTTTCCTACGGATGTCAAGGTTCGGGCTTGAGAGTGCCCTAAGTATATCCATGGTCATCTCAACCATGATATCTCTGTGAGAAGATTTTAGCTCATTCAGACGATCAAGAACAATAAGTTTGACATTGTTGTCACTCTGAGAAAGCAAAAGTTGGCAGTAGGTGTTCGCAGCAGCTCTGATAGCTGTTGGTGCAGATGAAAGAGAGACCAATGTCCCAGCACATTCATAAATAACAGCTGTTGATGGGGCATTTAACAGAGAAATAATGATCTTTATATATTTCCCCTTCTCTCCCAGATTTGTTCTGCAGACTTTGCGGATCAGCTCTAGTACAACCATCTGAAGTGGTTCTCCCCACTCAGTTACACTGTCAACATGGGTGAGAAGGTAGTTAATTGCCCGATCCTGAGCACAGTTGAAAAGCATAAGGAAGGCATTCCTCTTGGCTGATGGGTCCTGCTCTGATGTAAGTGCCTTCTCAATCATCTCAGGAGCATCAACCAGAAGCTGATCTCCTTGTGGAAGCTTGTAAATGGACATCACTGCAAGAATTGCATTCCTCCTAATGAAAGGGTGTCTATGTTCCAAGTTAGACAAAACTGATGGGATCAAAGGCTCAATAATCTCAGTCTCATTCAAACGGCAAAGAAATCTGAGAGTAACACCGCGAATGTATTCATTCGGGGACTGAAGATTATTCCTCAAGTTTTGGCAGATCAATATCATTTCTGGGAGGACCTTTCCTTTAGCATCCGTCTTGTCAAGGATCTCCAGGTAGAGAAGCAAAAGCTTTTGGATCGTGTGATCGTCACAGGGCAACACATATCGTAGAATTGTTATGAAAAGATGAGGTAACGTTTCGCCATTTAACAGAAGCATGATAGCTTTCTTCATCGCGTCGATCTTAGCCGGAACATCACCATCTTCAAGAGCACTCTTTATCTCATTCGCAAGAGAAGGAGTTCCTTTGTCGAAGTGAACAAGCAAAGTACAAGATTTCTCCATTTTTCTCTTCTAAACCTACAATGAGTCTCTCGGTTCAAGTTCGGAACTCTTTATGACACAAAAATTACCCTAAAGTCACCAAATCCTAAGCAATTCCGCTAAGTTCACTAAAACCCAGTTTGTCAAGAGTCCATCAGACTTCAATGTCATCAAATAAAAATCACAACAAAAACACTATAAAAATCGAGAACCTAACAACCCTCCAGTTACGAAATCTTCAATTGCAAAACAAGCAATAGAGATTCGAGACATACCTTGTTATAACCAAATCGAAAACCTATACGGAAAAACCCGAGAAATTCGATTACTCCCACTTCCACCCTCAGAATACAGCTAAGTAGTCCTCCAGAGAAAAATGTGAAACAGAGACGAATCCTGTAGAATGACGCAGCTTCTTAATCAATGGCAGGTATTATCACGCAAGCAGATCTAAAGCAACCATATGAAACGAATTTGTGAGATCCAGAGAGAAAAGAAAGGAGAGGGAAAGAGTAAGAGAAAGACAGAGGAGGGGAGAGAGAGAGAGAGAGAGCGAGAGAGAGGTAGTCAGAGGAATTTCCTATCAGATCTGCCGTTTTCTGAGAGTGTTTCGCGAGTATTAAAAAAGAACTATTACAGGAATGCGAAAATTACGAACAGGGAAATACCGTAGATTTCACGAATGAGTATAGAGCATTGAAAGAGAATTTTATATGAGACCCGGTGAAGTTACACGTCAAGAAAGGTAGTCAGAGGAATTTCCTATCAGATCTGCCGTTTTCTGAGAGTGTTTCGCGAGTATTAAAAAAGAACTATTACAGGAATGCTAAAATTACGAACAGGGAAATATCGTAGATTTCACGAATGAGTATAGAGCATTGAAAGAGAATTTTATATGAGACCCGGTGAAGTTACACGTCAAGGCTCTCTAAATATTCTTGACTGGTGGGCGTTTGGCTACAAAGAAAACGAATAAAAATTGATACAAGAAAATTACTTACCTGGAGAAAAAAAAATTAAGAGACTAAGAAGGTAGATTTTCTCTTTCAATCTCTTTTATTTTATTTTATCTCTAAAAAGGAGAAATCCTAGGAAAATTTTCCTCATATTTCTAATTGAAAATTTTTATTTTTTTCTTACTTAATTTATTTTCTCACCTCTTTCCTATCAAAATTAAATTGAGCACCTAGAAATTTACAAGATTGACCCTCAAGTTGGTGAGATGGGTCAATCAGGACAAAATCATGAGAGGGATTCCAAATAGGTCAGAGCGAATTTAGACCCACTCAGCCCAATCTAACGACAAAGGAGACCTAAGACAAAGGTGCTAATTTTTAGGTCGATAAGGATGTTGATAGGGCCGAAGCTTTGGTTGAGTTTTGACTTTTGGCATAGATCAAATTAGTATTTTTCAGATTTTTCTACCAAACATTATTTACAAGCTGTTTGAGTGGGGCCCACATGCCCACATTGCAAAACCAAAGTTGGTCATAAGAATGCCCTCCTAAACAGGCAATCTCTTCTAAGATTAGGGCTAAGATATGGCTAATTAGGGTTGTTAATGGGTCGAGCAGATCGGACAAACCCGAACCAAAGCCAACCCCATTTATGTAGGGTTTTCTCATGACCAAAGCCAATCCCATAATTTTTATTTAGGTGGTGCGTCAATGGTTTAATCATTTGGATTAAATTATTTATGATTAAATAATCAAATTTTAAAAATAGATAAAAGCAAAAGTAGAGGAAATACAAAAAGGCCACATAACTATTATTATATATTTCACAAATTAAACAAAAATAAGTGATAAATAAGAGAATTAATATTGATGTAGCGCGATCTGATTGCTCCCTGTTGGAGGATGATCTGGCTTCCAGTCGGACGGCGAGCTAAGCGGATCTGCAAAATAAGATCAGAGAACCCGGGGCGGCTAACCCGATGAGGTCGCTCCGATGCTTAAATTAGTAGGCTGTTGCGAGCTGAAAATTGCTTTGAGAAAATAGAGAGCTAGAGAGCAGAGAAATCACGCGTACCTTGAACCATTGGGGGTGGAGCCTTTATATAGTTGAGTCCTCACGGGTTTTGCGGATCGATTGCGGGATCTTCGTCACGATGAGATCCATTTCTGCTTTAATTGGGGGATAACGTTGTCAACTGATAAGGCTTATCAATTCCGCCCGAACCGGGCGAGGAGGAGATAAGGCTTGCCGTTACACGGTGTGATCCCGCGAGGTTCGGAATCCGTTGGAGGGATTTTTGGGATCACCATGTAGTGGTCTGTCGGTATCCCCAAGTTGATGCCTTTAAGTTTTGAATTGGGTTGAATGCCGAAGTGCCTTGGGATCGAGGTGATCCTGTTGTGATCTAGTACCGAGGTGATCTCGTCCTGAGGTGACCTTGTCCCATGGTCACCTTATCCCGAGGTGATTGAATATCCGAGCTCGATCTGTTGTGGACTGGTCATGTCAGGCTGAGTTGTCATCTTTTGGTCAGGTCGTGTCCACGTGTCCCCTCTTTACTAAGTCGGGCCAAATCACCCTTCATCAAATATCTTATTAGTGATGAAAGTAGAATAAAAATAAATAAATAAGAGAATTAATATCTTATTCATGACCCTAGTGGCTAGGTCAAATAGTTAAATGGTTTAATTGTTTTGTTTTGGTTCATAATGGTTTTGTAAGTACGTGCATTCCTCTATTGACATAATCACGATGAAGGTACTCAAACAAAACCACATGTACCTACGATGAGCTTAGGAAACCATCCAGGACCTGCTACGAGCAACAAGCATCATCTGAGACTTGCGATGAACATAAGACAATGCAACCAACCTTGAGACAAACCCAACATATCACTAGCACCTCATGATGGTAGCCCACACTGTAACAGTTGATAAACCCTTATGCCAACAACACTTGCCTACAGGAGGGAGGTTAACACAACAAGTTGCAATGAGGCTTCCCGGAGATGACCAAGTGGACACCCGAGTATGACAGTCAAATCCAAAACCTTGTCTTTGACACGTGGCCGCGAGGTAACCTACAACTGAAGGTAGCCTGCACATGCCAGGTGAGAATCTTCAAGGAAAAGGGAACTTTTTCATTAGAGGATCTCGTCAAACACGTGGTGAAACCCTAATGGCGTTCCTTTGATAATTTGCGTAAAGATGAGGACCCCATTTCCTAATAGGAATCAAACCCCTTTTTGGAATCCTTTTCATTAAGGTCTTGGGATCTCCCCTATAAAATGGGATGGCAAAGTACAATGCAGGACACTCCTTCAACAACGATTCTCGTTGTCACTCGGCCTTATTGAAAACCCCTTGTACACACCCTTACCTTACACGACAACCCATTATTTCCCCTATGACCTTGACCCTAGTCCTTCTTCATTCTTCAAGGAGACCACCTCCTTTAACCTTTCCACCATACTTATATTAGAATCTCTAGTTTGATCCTTGATCATGGAGAATCGTCGCTTGAAGAACCAACCTTTCCCCTATTCCTGAAGAACAATACAACGATCCTAAAATCACTAGTGCAGGACTTGAGGACTTGAGTGTTCAAGAAACAACCAAACAAGCGGACATCGAAATCCTCTCTCACAAGGTCTATAGTTTCGAGGCCCATTTTGATTGGCTGGAGTAGTTGCAAGCAGAGATGAGGAGAACACTGGAACTATTGCTACAGATGTTAGCCGCACCCGAACATCTTCCTTTCGTCCCCACCAACCCCCATAGTTGTCCTGAGACCTTGACTGAGTGACATCCATCGGAAGCCAACCACTTGTTTATGCCCAACATAGCACAAAGTGTTAGACAGTGTATGCTCTTAGCTCCCATCAGATTAATGTACATTTTGACATTTATTGTAAATGAATAAAGTACATAATTGATTCTTGCTATCTATGGGGTGTTTCTGTGCAATACCCTTAAATTGGACACTTATGATACTCGTGTTAATTTAGAATCTTCATAGCCGTTAGATAGACTTGGGGAGGTTTATCCTGCTAAGGCTGACACTAATGTGCTACCAAGTCGGTTGGGGTGGCTTGTCTCAGCTTCTAGGGTGAGACCTGAAGCACATGTCGTGTAGGTATGCTTGAAACTCTGAATCGGACCATTTTCCCGATTATGCCTTGGACCTTGGATACAGATGGGCAAAACTGAAAAGTTACACCTAACCCCTTGAATCAATTATGGTACTGCACTAGGTGTAAGATTGGGTTGTCTTTGATATCCCAATCAATGAAATCCTTAGTGGGGGTCAAAACCTGGGTATGTTGGGGCTGTTTGAGAATTCACCTGAGTGGGTGATCATAGTGACAAAATCAGCCCCTTTGTCGAACAAAGTGAATGATTAGGGAATGCACTCTCTTTGATGGAAACCTAAACTGCCGGCAGTTGATTTCAAACTTGTTGAGATTTGTTTTGCAAAATATATTTATATAGAGATATATACATATATATTATGGTTTCACAAAATGTTTGCAAAAGGTTTTAATTCCCAGGATCCATGTGAGCAGAGAGTGCAACACTGTACCTTGCAGCCGAAGGAGAGGTCCTCTCTTGTCAGGCAGTGTTTGATCATTATGGGCTGAGAGGTTAAGTGTAAGATCATTTAGGGCTTTTACCTGATGGGCTAATCTCACTTAAGTCCATAGTCCTTGGGCCTTCATAAGGTGGCTGGACCCAGGGACCATTTAGTGTAAATGTTGGGCCTGCTAAGAGCCCATATTGATGGGCTTAGGGGTTCACTGTTTTCAATAGTGAATTCGGCCAGGCCTTGTAACAGAGTCTAGGCTGAACCCATATGGCTTTTGTGGAGATCAATGTTAGGGTCCCATGCCATACAAAGAGAGCCAAGCTAGCCAACAATTAAAAGGAAGTGAACCTGAAAGCTTAACGGGCCTAAAGCCCAATTCGAATTAGGTTTAATGAGATTAATTAAAAGGGGTGAATTTGAGTTTAGATCTGCTTCTAAATCAACAAGAGGATAAGATATGTCTTATCCACTTAGAAGTTTATATCCAAATAAAGATTTGGATCAAAGAACCCTCTCTTGATATGATTAGGAAGCTGATCCAAGAAGGATTATAAATAGAGGGAGAAATCCTTCTATTAAACATTTTTTGCAAATTCTAGATCTTCTCTCTGCTCTTGTCGCCCTACCCTATTCGATCTCTAGTTCTTGGAGTGATTAAGATTGGATCTTGATATTGTTTTTTGCTGGAAAAAACAATATTGCAGTTGTGCTCACATCCTTGTGTGATTCTTGCTGAAGAATTGGGGTTATTGCTGAAGAATCTCTTTGCTGATCTAACCTCACCCTAAGTTGTGTCATCTTCACTGGATGAAGGATTTGGTGAACTCTTTGGGCATGAACACCTACAGGAACTACTGTTGATTCCATATCAGGTATATCTCTCCCTTAATCTTGGTAACAAATTTGGTCCAGTTTGTTTCAAGATTGAACCTTGAAAAATGTAGTTTTTCTAAAACGGGGAATAGGATTCCCGGAAGGGAGAAAGAAATTTTTGAAATTTCGCCCAACCACCCTGCATGGTTCAGCCATTTATATGATGGATTTGCTTTCCATTCAGTGGTAT